TCTTAAAAGCAAACAGAGGAAAAAATGAATCTTGCCTTCAAAAGTTTAAGTTAATGGCTAACTGGTCAACAGAAATGACAGGCGTCTGAAGACAATGGAACATGATTTATAGTACTGCAGGAAACTGCAAATATAGCATTCCATGCTTCACAAAAGATTTCAAAGTAAAGGTAAAATTAAGACATTTTCTGGGAAGTAAACACAGGATCTTTCACCAGCAAACCTTGACAAAAAAAAAAAAAAAGGAACATGTTAATGGGAGTCGAATTGACAAAAGAAAGGAATCCCAGATGAAAGAAAGCATTATGATACAGGAAAAAGTAAAGAGAAACAGGAAAAACTAAACATGTTGGTAAATGAGAATGAACACTGACTTTAAAAAAAGTTTAAAGCCAGACCTGGTGGTACATGATTGTAATCTAAGCATACTGAGAAGTTGAAACAGGAGGATCACAACTTTGACCCCAGCCTGAGCAACTGAGCAAGACCCTGTCTCAAAATAAGAAATGCAAAGGGCTGGAGATGTAGCTTAGTTAGGAGGTGCTGGGTTCAATTTCCAGTATGGAAGGAAAGAAGAAAGGAAGGGAAGGAGGGAGGGAGGGACAGAAGGAGGGAGAAAGGGATGGAGGGAGGGGGAAGGACAGGATAAGAAAGGGGAAAATAAAAATAATATCTAGTGGTTTTAAAAATCTGTAGGCTTCCTCCTCACTAATTTCTGTTGGTTTACTGAAAAGAATAGTTAATACATAATTTTTGAACAATTTTACATGTTTATATCTGATAATCTGAACATCTACTTTGGAGACAAGAGTATGCATTATAACTACCATTGTTGCATTCCTATCATCTTGATTTTTGAAATTCTGTATTATTTCTCATATTTTATTATTTTTATTCTCTTTTATACAGAAAAAAACCTGTAGGCTTAAAATGGATGATAACATAATACAAAGAGAGTAAGAGAATGCATAGAATTAAAATGCTATAAGATACCCTGCTTTGTATTTACTCAAAAGAAGTTAAAACCGATCTGCAAAATGACTTGTACAGAAATGTATCTTCAGGGAAGCATTATAGGTAATAGCCAGAAGCCTGAAAAGACTCAAATGCCCATGTGTAGGTGAACTGATAAATTATAGCATATTCATATACTGGAATTCTATTCAGTAATATAAATGTAGGCATCGCTGCAAACTGAAAACTATGGATTAAGCTTGCGGCTACGAGCACAGGAAGCCAGAATCAAAGGAGATGCAATTCCACCTAAATGCTGTTCTGGCTAAGCAGAATCATGCTGTGACGTGGAAAGTTAGGGAAATGGGTTTCTGGTGACAAGGGCTGGGCATGGAAAGGGAAGCGCTGGGCGGTTGGCAAGGGTCTACTTTCCAACAGGACATATTTACTTTGCAGGAATTCACAACACTCAACTATAAATAACTAGGGCCGGGGATATAGCTCAACGACATAAGTGCCTGCCTGGCAAGCACAAAGTCCTGAGTTTGAACCCCAATACCACAAAAAAAAGAAATAAAGGAATTCACAACACCTAGTATTGTGCATTTTTCAATATGTATTTCTTAAAAGTAAGCTTAAAAATATATTTGATCATAAAAAAATGTTATACAAAGAATAACAACACTTAGCCACCACTGATATCAAGAAACAAAACAGTCCCAACACAGTTGCTTGCACATACAGCGGTCACACTCTCCCCACCCCGGCAGAGATAGAAAATCACTTTATTGAATTTGATGTTCATCATTCCTCTACATGATTTTTAACTCTTACATCTTACATAAGCTCCACTAAACAATGTATAGAACTGTTTTTGCATGTTTTGAAACTACATATAGAAGGTAACTTGACTTCTATTTTTAAAAAGGAACTTTCTAAGATGAAAAAATTCTATATCTTAGCTGCAGTACTGATTATACTGACAGTACAGCAATCTAAGAATTGTGTATTTTGCTGTAACTCCACATTATCTCACTTTAAAAAAAAAATTAAGTGGACCATTCTAGCTTCTTCACAGGAAATGGATGGGAGGGTGGATAGAAGGGAAGCTAGGAAGCCCAGTTCAAATTCTACAGTAAGCCCAGAGACTGCCAAACTCACTGCTAAGGAGCAAGAAAGGAAAGACCGCTTGAGGTCTCAGACTTTGAAGCTTTAACTGAGAAGTAGAGCACTAACTGGAGAAAGAAGGCCCCCACCAAAAAAGTAAAAGTTTTTTCAAGACATAAGCTTGTGGTTGATAAGTAGAGAGGAAAACCTGAAGACAGACTGGAGATGTGGAATCAACACGGACACAAAGTTCTTGAGAAGGTGAGGGTGCAGAACATAAAGTTTGGGAGGTTGGTCTTCACCAGAACAAATGGCACCTTGCTTGTTAACTAAAAAGAAACAAAAGGAAGAGTAGAATTCAAGGAAGACTAATTAGTGGTAGAAAGATAAAGAGTTCCCATCCAGGGGTTACCCCTTTTTCAATGAACATGCATCATTATATGAAAAGGGTGGGAGGCGGGAGATCTTAAGTCTGTGAAGAACAATATGGCTTCGCATTAGAAAAAGCTGGGAAAACACTGCAGCATTGTAGGGAGTGGTTATGAAAAAAAATCAGAGGTTTCATTTTGGCCAGCATTTGAAATGCCTGACAGGCATGCAAATTCTCACAATACAGTAGGATAAGTTCAAAAGCAAGAATATTGACATGTATCTTTTATTGTGCTCCGTAGAGTACATTGTAACCTATATTGGGTACTCAAGAGGAAATTAATACGGGAATGAATGAAGATGAAATTTTTCACATTTTAATATCACATTTATATCATCTGGCATATTCTGCATTAGAACTGAAAGAAATATTCTTTTGGGGAATAATTCACCTTGGATAGCAAATGCATTTCCTTTTTTCTCTGTTTTCATGTTGCATGTTCTTAGAAGAAAATCAATCTGTTTTTTCTAATTTTATCAATTCTTCATTTTATGCAAAGAAATAATATGCTGATCTTCTAAAATTATTTTTAGGCAGAAGTCACCATGGGGCCACTCTCAGAGGGAAAAAAAAAAGAGAAAAAATCTATATGCCTATATTACCATAATTTCCTACAACCACAGGGATACAGTTAAGGAAGAAACCAGAACCTCTTGCCAAGGTGAACTAACCTCTTCTCTATATTCAAGACGGTCTCGCCCATGCCACATCACCCATGCTCACTCTGGGACGAATGGCTTGACTTCAGGTGTAGGATTCACAGGGTGACCCCAAACAAACCTGGACGTGCCCAGCAGAAAAAAAGCACTGTGTGTCTTAGGAGACAAGTTAGCACAATGTGCTACTTATTTTTCATTTATCAAGTATTAAATGGAAAATTGCACTACTTGGGGCATAAACTGTCATTTGTTTTACTACACCAAGTTCCATTTAAAACGATTCCATTCATGAGGAAGCACTGTTTTGGTTGGTTGAGCAGTCAGATTTCTTTACTTACAATTTATGTCTATACTTAATATGTACACTGAGTGCATGCTCCTAATTCCTGTTGCCACTGCCAGACTGTAAATGCATATGTTTTTGTCATTCTTAACTACAGTAATTCAGAATTTCAGCTGCCAAGTTGGGTGCCAATATTCTCACATAGGCAGTTCATGCTCCGTTCTTAAAATAATTCCTTGTTTGCTGTCAGAACTTCCTGCCATGAGATATAAAATGGCAGGTTCAGTTTTTTTTTAACCTAAAGTTATAACTAAATACCACTATAAGGTTTTCCTTTTTTTCTTCTTGAAGATATTCCCTCTCCTAGCTCCCCTTTATTTAATAATTATAAATCCTGGTCAAACAGTAAGATAGCAAAGCATTTTAAATATCAGCACACCACCAACAGCAGTGTTTTCAAGGAAGAAAAGAAGGAAAATCTCATTTGCATTCTGGATCATCTTCTGAGGCAGTCATTTGAAATGTGAAGGATCAACTATTTTCCTATGTTGGAAGGTCTATATACTTAGAGGTTGTATAGGCAAAGGAAAAAAGCAACTGTTTAACTGTATCATCAAATCCTACAGGCTACTAATCTGTGCTGGTTTATAAGCCACCAGCACAATTCTGGGTGTGAAGATTATGGTTGATTATTTCAGGTCAAGTGAAACAGAACTGATCTGTGGTTGAAGAGCACTGAGACCATATTAAAGGTTCTCAGTTGCATAATATTTCTGGGGACAACTTCTAGCTTCACTGTAAAATCTTAAAATCTTAGTGTCTATAGAGAACAGGAGGTTTCCTACTTCAAATTGACACTCAGAGCTGCAATCTCCTCTAGCATCCCTGTTTTGATTACTTCATTGAGGGAGTTCCCAAGAAACGGTTTCCAATGAATACAATAGAGAAAAACTAGAACCTACCTTTTCGACAAGGAGTAAGGGTCCAGTCAGTGAGCTGGCAAGAAAGCACCAGCATTGTCAAACGCTCAAATCAGACTTCCACAAGAACGAGATTGAGAATTAGCAATTACAAGAATAAAGCGTTTAAGACAGGTAAACCCCTACTTCTGGAACCATCCAAGCTCCTTTCATTGGCCTAGGGAATTGCTCCTACAATCAAAAGCAGGGTAGCTTTTTTGCATCTGGTTTATTAAAGCAAGGGTTTACCAAGTCAAAAAGCATCAAATCTCTTCCTTCTGAAAACTAAGCCAAGGAACCCCCTGGTGGAACTGCTAATGCGTAAAGTAAAACAGTATCTAACTTTGGTCTTAAAATTATTACTACAATAAACGAGAACATTTCAGGTTTTTCTTTTAAAGGTGCATGTGTATAGGCTGTCACTGAAGTTGTATGTAGGGTTGCTGCGTGTGGGACTGTATTTTAAGCTCAGCCTTTCATTCCTCCCCCCAGCCCCCCTCCCCCCGTGAAATCAGCCCTAATCCTCCCAGGAAAGGCGAGAGCACAGGGCTGAGCAGAGCAGCGAGCACATCCCGGCCAGACCCGGGACGGGGCGGCCTGGCCCTTACCTGTCAATGCTGATCACGCACAGAGTCATGATAGAGGCCGTGCAGCACATGACGTCCATGGCGATGAAGACGTTGCAGAAGAAGTGCCCAAAGATCCACTTGCCCCCGATGAGGTCAGTGACGCTGACGAAGGGCATGACCGCCACGGCCACCGAGAGGTCGGCCAGCGCCAGAGACACGATCAGGTAGTTGGAGGGCTGGCGGAGCTTCTTGACGAAGCACACGGAGATCACCACCAGGCAGTTGCCCGCGATCGTCAGCAGCGTGATAAGCGTCAGGATGGAGCCGATCACAACTTTCTCGGCTCTGCCGTAGTTAATCTGCTCTCCGCAGCCGGAGACATTGTCCGGGGTCCCGTCCCAGGTGGGCGAGGGGCTGGCCGTCACCTCGGGGACCCCGGTCAGCAGGTGCGGCGTCCAGGAGAGGACACCCGGCTGGGCGCCCCCGTCGGGGCTCAGCTCCGGCAGCCCGCGCTCGGGCAGGAGGATGGAGCGGAGGTGCCCGAACAGATCCGGACGGCCGCTGCTGTTAGCGTCCATCACCATCGTGCCGCCGCGCCGAAGCCC